CAAACTCTAAGTTCAAGGTCGAAAGGTCAAAATTGTTGGTATTCAAAGGTAGGTTTTGTCATAATAAATCAATGAAATATTAAAGCCATAGTACTAACTGCTCAAAAGTTATGCCCAAGTTTAAAAGTTGTTTTTTTTTCATTTAAAAAAAATTAAAGTTGGTCAAACTCTAAGGTCAAGGTCAAAAAGGTAAAAAAATATATCCACTGAAAGGTCATGCCACAATGAATAAACAAGTTAAGTATGAAAACCCTAGAACCTACTGTTCAAAAGTTACGATCAAGGTTACAGTTTGGATTTTTTTTTTTTTTGTAAAAGAGGGTCAAACTTCACCTTCGGCTGGGGCTGCACTAGACGAGTCTCCCGGGTGGCTGATAGTGGATCCCTCACTTAGTAAAAGGTGTACCGGATAGACTGAAGAAGGTGCTGTAGACCAATGAATGCAGCATAAGGGAAAGACACACTGACAGAAAACCACTGGCCCTTCAAGAATGGGGTTGGGCAGGAGTCCGACTACCTCTTCCCGAAAAAAAATTACAGTTACAGAAACAATTAATGGACATAAAAGAGCAAAGAAGACCGGGTTAAGCAAGATGAAGAACTGGATAAGGGAGGAGTAGCCATAATGACCAACCAGCTGGCAATGAAATCACCCATGGAATGAGCACCCTTCAACAAGAGAATAATAACAGCAAGATTCTATTCAAGATACCGTAGAGTGCCGGTGTTCCAAAGATAAATTATGTTAAGAAAATAATATGAAAAAGAAAGAGGAAAAGGAGGAGAAGAACCAACTGTATCTGGAGCTACAGGAGACCTTGGATGGATGCAACACGAACGACATCATCATTATCTTGGGAAACATCAATGCCAAAGTAGGAAGTAATAATAACGGATTTGAAAGAAACAATGGGTATACATGGACTGGGAATACAAAACGAGAACGCAGAAAGGCTGTGTGAATTTTGTCAGACCATCGGGTTAAGAATCACAAGAATATTTTTCCCCCTTAAAGACATACACAAAGCAACATGATGTCTGGTACGAAAAACCAGATTGATCACCTCAATAGATTGATTTGATTGATTGTTGTTTAACGTCCCTCTCGAGAATTTTCCCACTCATATGGAGACGCCACCACTTGCCGGCGGAGAGATGCAAATTTTGTCCTATAATCGGCACTCAGGGTTATTGAACAGGGAGGGATCTTTTTTGTGCCAGCATCTACTGCGACTCGGGACCTCGGTTTATACGGTCTCATCCGAAGGACCGGTCTCCACGTCCCACAGTGGGATTCGAACCCGCGACGTAAGGATTACAAGTCTTTACTCAACGACTCTAGAGCAGACGCTCTTACCACTGCGCCACGCGAGGACCCTTCTCAATAAATGGAAATCAGTTCTATACAAGTTATAGGAGGTCCAGAGGGAAGCGGATGCCAACAGCGACTACTACCTGGTGAAAACCCGAATCAGGCTACGCCTCGGCACACATAAGGATGAGAGCAACTTGAAACTAAGACTTGATGTAGAGCGCCTAAAAAAGTAAAAACAAAGTTCAATAACAGCTTGAGGAAGAAATTAGAAGAATACATGGAAAGGATCCACTACCTGTTGGTGTAGCAGAAAATTGCATATGTGAATTTAGCAGACGAGGTACTTGGCTTCAGGAAAGGTAAAACAAGCCTTGGATCAGTAAAAATACCTGGACGTTAATAGATGAAAGAAAAGACAAAAACAAGAACAGAAAACACAAGATCAGAAAGAGTCGACGTCAAGACTAGATTGAAGGAAAAATACAGATAGAAAGACAAAGCGGTCAAGAAAAGTCCGAGAGAGGACAAGTGAAGATGGATGGCAGAGAAAGCTTAGTGAATACAGAAAGCATTCGAAAACGGTAGACAGAAGGAATCGTACAACATAGTAAAACAGCTGACAATATATACAGAAGTAATACATGTAGAGACAACACAGCGGTGAAGATCAAAGATGGAGAGCTGCTGAAAAGAAGAAGCAAGATTGCAAGATGGAAGGATCATTTTGAGGAAGTGCTCAACAGGGACACTTTGAAAGTCACCATTACAAGATACACAGGATGAGGTAGAAGAGCTAGACATCTCAGTTGAGCCACCTATCACACAGGAAACAAGGGCTGCACTAAAGACGCTTCGGAATGGGAAGGTCCCTTGTACAGATCAAATAACAGCAGAAATGCTAAAGGCAGACCTGAATCATACTAGTCAGGACCTGAAGTTTACCTTTGACCAAATATAGAAGGAGAAGATGCCCAAAGATTGAACCAAAGGACTAATCTGCAAAAATCCCAAGAGAGACAGCTTACAGGACTACAACTGGAGGGGGTGACATTGCTGCCCCTAGCCAGCAAAGCACTAAGCAGAATCCTCATTAACAGAATACAGGCTGGAGTTGACCAAACTCTTAGGAAAAAGCAGGCAGGGTTCCAGAAAGGGAGAGGGACTGTGAATCAGATATTTATCCCCAGGAACATCTTGGAGCAAGTCAACGAGTGAAATGCTACCGCGTACATCTATTTTGTGGACTTTCGACTCGGTGCAATGAGACAGTCTTTAGGTCATCATAGAGAAATACATGCATGTATGTAATAACAAAAAAACTGAATAGGATGGTCAAGCCCTTTATGACGATTTTAGTGCTACTAGTATGTTACTGATGACAACAAGACAATAAACCATGGGACTTCACCACTATGCTTGAAGACATTGACTTCGCGGAAGACATTGCCCTACTGTCATCAGCAATGATCCATTTTTAGTCCAAGACAACAAAACTAGAAGAAAACTCAGCAAAAGTTGGGACCAAAAAGTGCAAAGTGATGAAGATAAACAGCAAAAGTGAAGCCAGCCTGAAAGTCGGAGACAGTGAAGTCAGCGAGGTGGACACCTCTTCTTACATCGGGGCTAATGTTACCAAGAATGGGGGAGGTACTGCTGGTGCATCCTTCAGGAGGATAGCCAACATCTGGAACACAACAGACTTTAGTAGAAAGATAAGTTTCATTCTTCAAGAGCTTGGTCGTCTCCCTATTGTTATACGGATGTGAGACTTGAAAGCTTACCAGGACAGAGGAAAAGAAAGATGAAATCTTTCAGACCAAGTGCCTCAGAAGGATTCTTATGATCAGATGGCAACAGCATGTCTCTAACAAGACAGTTCGGGAGATGGCAGAAGTAGAAAGCATCATTGGCAACTTGAGGAGGAGGAGTTGAGAAATGATCCAACAGATGTGTTTTGACCCACGGGTTGACACCTAAGGGGAGAAGGAAGCGAACCCGCTCAAGACAACACGAGGAAGGATAGTGGAGGTAGAGCGAAATAATGTAGGCTGGAACTCTTGGAACACGACACGCCATACAGCCTTAGACTTCTCCAATGGAAGAAAGATGTGCAGGCATTGTGTGCCTACTGGTACAGAGAGAATTAAAGGTTAAGGTAAAGGTTAAACTCTAAGGTCAATGTCAAGAGGTCAAATTTGTGGTATTCTTAGAAAGGTCGTCAAGAATACACTTGTGGAATATGAAATTCATAGTCCCAACCACTAAAAAATTTCGGACAAGGTAAAAGTTCTGCGGACAGAAAGAAAGAAAGACGGTCGGGTCAAAAACTATATACCCCCAAACCTTCGATTACAGGAGCTAAAATATGAATATTTTTCTTCCAAATATTTTATATTTTCGGTTTCTGTTTGTTTATTTTTTTTTGGGGGGGGGGGGTTCCTTAGTGTTTGAATGATATTATCAATGTCAATGTAAAAATCTGTGATATGTGAACCCTCCTTGCGCACGCAAAGTATGCACTTGTGTTTGGTTTAATTTATTTTGATTTTTTAAAACTATTTTTGTCATTGTTTATCATGTGTGAATAAGGAGGCCATATTAACCAATTAAACTTTCACACATTATAGCATCTTAGTCAGATGTGGCCTTACCATACTTGCGTTTTCCTTTTTTAGCTTTGAAGATTTAATTACCAATTCTGTAATTGACATGTTTTTACAATACTGCATGGGATAAAGTGCATATTTTTTAATAAAGGCATATTTAACATTATAATATGACACTAGAGCGGAAATTAAAAATCATTTGTTTGAAAAGAAATTTGATCTTCATTATTTCTCTGTCTACAATACTGAAATGTAATTTTATTTTAAAAAAAAAACATTGAAAACTTTGAGACAAAATACGCCTCAAAAGAACCTCCCCCATGTTGGATCATGAAGACTTTAAATAAGAGCCGAAAAACTACTTCTTAAAACTTAATTGTGGACTCCGTTTGCAATACACAGGTATGAATTTCATGCTTTTAAAAAATTCTCTCTAAATTTTTTTTCAAACTATCAATTGCGTTTATATCAGACAGTAGATTTTTCACAGGATTTTAGTAGAGTTAGGCAATACCTATACATTTAAGTCGCTTTGTATTCGAGTGTTGAAAATGTCCTCGTTTTTTTTCTTTCTTTAAAATTTTCAAATTGGTCATTATATAACTGTTTTGAATATATCAGAAGTATGTATGATGTGCAGGAAATTAAGAAGATTGAAAAAAAATTAAGCAATGATTTACATGCATATCATTTAGTAACTGTTAAAAACTGTCTAATCCGACACCTTTGTAATCTGTTTCACTGTGTATTCCACCTGTAATTTTCATTCCCATTTTACTGTGTCATTTTTATACACCGTGCAATCCGAGATTCTGTCTATTCCGTACAAAACTTATCTCCTAATGCATGTCGGATTAGACAGGTTTCACTGTATTTACAAATTTGTTTCGAAACAACAGCAATGAAATTAAATTATGTAAAATATTACTTGCTTGATTTTAAGAATGTTGCCAACGACCATTAAAAGAATCCACTTTAACGATTCCCTTCTTTGGCTTTTCTGGATACCCTGTATCACGTTGTTTGCTACTGTATACGCTAAGAACTTAAACAAGACAACCGTATCCAGAAGAAACGACATGCTACCTTCTGCTTCTAGTGCCATTTGGGGAATTCCAAATATCCCAGTAGAGAAAAATGACGACACCAATAACACCGAAAATCATCAAAGCAATGACCTTGTAGAGGAAAATCATTACACTGATGAAATTTTAAAGGAAAATGTCGAAACCACAAGTACTTTAGAGGAATCTCAGTCCATGAGAAGCAGTTTAGAGGAACATCGAGATACCAACATTACTGTAGGGGAAAATCAAGTCATCAACACTACTGTACAGGAAAATCAAGAGATCAACAATGTTGTAGATGAATATCAATTCATCAACACTACTGTAGAGGAAAATCAAGTCACCAACAATACTGTAGAGAAAAATAAAGTCATCAATACTACTGTAGAGGAAAATCAAGGCATCAACACTACTGAAGAGGAAAATCGATTCATCAACACTACTATAGATGAAAATCGATTCATCAACACTTCTGTAGAGGAAAATCAATTCATCAACACTTCTGTAGAGGAAAATCAAGTCATCAACACTACTGTAGAGGACAATCAAGTCATCAACACTACTGTAGAGGAAAATCCGGACACCAACACTACTGTAGAGGAAAATCAATTCATCAACACTACTGTAGAGGACAATCAAGTCATCAACCATACTGTAGAGGAAAATCAATTCATCAACACAACTGTTGAGGAAAATCAATTCATCAACGCTACTGTAGAGGTCAATCAAGACATCAACGCTACTGTAGAGGACAATCAAGTCATCAACACTACTGTAGAGGAAAATCAAGTCATCAACACTACTGTAGAGGAAAATCAAATCATCAACACTACTGTAGAGGAAAATCCGGACACCAACACTACTGTTGAGGAAAATCAATTCATCAACACTACTGTAGAGGACAATCAAGTCATCAACACTACTGTAGAGGACAACCAAGTCATCAACGCTACTGTAGAGGACAATCAAGTCATCAACACTACTGTAGAGGAAAATCAATTCAACAACACTTCTGTAGAGGAAAACCAATTCATGAACACTACTGTAGAGGACAATCAAGCCATCAACACTACTGTAGAGGACAATCAAGTCATCAACACTACTGTAGAGGAAAATCAAGTCATCAACACTGCTGTAGAGGAAAATCAAATCATCAACACTACTGTAGTGGTCAATCAAGACATCAACACTATTGTAGAGGAAAATCAAGACAACACTACTGTAGAGGAAAATCAAGACATCAACACTACTGTACAGGGCAATCAAGTCATCAACACTACTGTAGAGGAAAAGCAAGACAACACTACTGTAGAGGAAAATCAAGACAACACTACTGTAGAGGAAAGTCAATTCATTAATGCTACTGTAGAGGAAAATCAAGTCATCAACACTACTATAGAGGAAAATCAATTCATCAACACTACTGTAGAGGAAAATCAATTCATCAACACTACTGCAGAGGACAATCAAGTCATCAACACTACTGTAGAGGAAAATCAAATCATCAACACTACTGTAGTGGTCAATCAAGACATCAACACTACTGTACAGGACAATCAAGTCATCAACACTACTGTAGAGGAAAATCAAGTCATCAACACTACTGTAAAGGAAAATCAAATCATCAACACTACTGTAGAGGAAAATCCGGACACCAACACTACTGTTGAGGAAAATCAATTCATGAACACTACTGTAGAGGACAATCAAGTCATCAACACTACCGTAGAGGACAATCAAGTCATCAACGCTACTGTAGAGGACAATCAAGTCATCAACACTACTGTAGAGGAAAATCAATTCTTCAATGCCATTGTAGAGGTAAATCAAATCATCAACATTACTGTAGAGGAAAATCCGGACACCAACACTACTGTTGAGGAAAATCAATTCATCAACACTACTGTAGAGGACAATCAAGTCATCAACACTACTGTAGAGGACAATCAAGTCATCAACGCTACTGTAGAGGACAATCAAGTCATCAACACTACTGTAGAGGAAAATCAATTCAACAACACTTCTGTAGAGGAAAACCAATTCATGAACACTACTGTAGAGGACAATCAAGCCATCAACACTATTGTAGAGGACAATCAAGTCATCAACACTACTGTAGAGGAAAATCTGGACACCAACACTACTGTAGAGGAAAATCAATTCATCAACACTACTGTAGAGGACAATCAAGTCATCAACCATACTGTAGAGGAAAATCAATTCATCAACACAACTGTTGAGGAAAATCAATTCATCAACGCTACTGTAGAGGTCAATCAAGACATCAACGCTACTGTAGAGGACAATCAAGTCATCAACACTACTGTAGAGGAAAATCAAGTCATCAACACTACTGTAGAGGAAAATCAAATCATCAACACTACTGTAGAGGAAAATCCGGACACCAACACTACTGTTGAGGAAAATCAATTCATCAACACTACTGTAGAGGACAATCAAGTCATCAACACTACTGTAGAGGACAATCAAGTCATCAACGCTACTGTAGAGGACAATCAAGTCATCAACACTACTGTAGAGGAAAATCAATTCAACAACACTTCTGTAGAGGAAAACCAATTCATGAACACTACTGTAGAGGACAATCAAGCCATCAACACTACTGTAGAGGACAATCAAGTCATCAACACTACTGTAGAGGAAAATCAAGTCATCAACACTGCTGTAGAGGAAAATCAAATCATCAACACTACTGTAGTGGTCAATCAAGACATCAACACTATTGTAGAGGAAAATCAAGACAACACTACTGTAGAGGAAAATCAAGACATCAACACTACTGTACAGGGCAATCAAGTCATCAACACTACTGTAGAGGAAAAGCAAGACAACACTACTGTAGAGGAAAATCAAGACAACACTACTGTAGAGGAAAGTCAATTCATTAATGCTACTGTAGAGGAAAATCAAGTCATCAACACTACTATAGAGGAAAATCAATTCATCAACACTACTGTAGAGGAAAATCAATTCATCAACACTACTGCAGAGGACAATCAAGTCATCAACACTACTGTAGAGGAAAATCAAATCATCAACACTACTGTAGTGGTCAATCAAGACATCAACACTACTGTACAGGACAATCAAGTCATCAACACTACTGTAGAGGAAAATCAAGTCATCAACACTACTGTAAAGGAAAATCAAATCATCAACACTACTGTAGAGGAAAATCCGGACACCAACACTACTGTTGAGGAAAATCAATTCATGAACACTACTGTAGAGGACAATCAAGTCATCAACACTACTGTAGAGGACAATCAAGTCATCAACGCTACTGTAGAGGACAATCAAGTCATCAACACTACTGTAGAGGAAAATCAATTCTTCAATGCCATTGTAGAGGTAAATCAAATCATCAACATTACTGTAGAGGAAAATCCGGACACCAACACTACTGTTGAGGAAAATCAATTCATCAACACTACTGTAGAGGACAATCAAGTCATCAACACTACTGTAGAGGACAATCAAGTCATCAACGCTACTGTAGAGGACAATCAAGTCATCAACACTACTGTAGAGGAAAATCAATTCAACAACACTTCTGTAGAGGAAAACCAATTCATGAACACTACTGTAGAGGACAATCAAGCCATCAACACTATTGTAGAGGACAATCAAGTCATCAACACTACTGTAGAGGAAAATCAAGTCATCAACACTGCTGTAGAGGAAAATCAAATCATCAACACTACTGTAGTGGTCAATCAAGACATCAACACTATTGTAGAGGAAAATCAAGACAACACTACTGTAGAGGAAAATCAAGACATCAACACTATTGTACAGGGCAATCAAGTCATCAACACTACTGTAGAGGAAAAGCAAGACAACACTACTGTAGAGGAAAATCAAGACAACACTACTGTAGAGGAAAGTCAATTCATTAATGCTACTGTAGAGGAAAATCAAGTCATCAACACTACTATAGAGGAAAATCAATTCATCAACACTACTGTAGAGGAAAATCAATTCATCAACACTACTGCAGAGGACAATCAAGTCATCAACACTACTGTAGAGGAAAATCAAATCATCAACACTACTGTAGTGGTCAATCAAGACATCAACACTACTGTAGAGGACAATCAAATCATCAACACTACTGTAGAGGACAATCAAGTCATCAACACTACTGTACAGGACAATCAAGTCATCAACACTACTGTAGAGGAAAATCAATTCAACAACACTTCTGTAGAGGAAAACCAATTCATGAACACTACTGTAGAGGACAATCAAGCCATCAACACTACTGCAGAGGACAATCAAGTCATCAACACTACTGTAGAGGAAAATCAAGTCATCAACACTACTGTAGAGGTAAATCAAATCATCAACACTACTGTAGTGGTCAATCAAGACATCAACACTATTGTAGAGGAAAATCAAGACAACACTACTGTAGAGGAAAATCAAGACAACACTACTGTACAGGGCAATCAAGTCATCAACACTACTGTAGAGGAAAATCAAGACAACACTACTGTAGAGGAAAATCAAGACAACACTACTGTAGAGGAAAGTCAATTCATTAATGCTACTGTAGAGGAAAATCAAGTCATCAACACTACTATAGAGGAAAATCAATTCATCAACACTACTATAGAGGAAAATCAAGTCATCAACACTACTGTAGAGGACAATCAAGTCATCAACACTACTGTAGAGGAAAATCCGGACACCAACACTACTGTTGAGGAAAATCAATTCATCAACACTACTATAGAGGAAAATCAAGTCATCAACACTACTGTAGAGGAAAATCAATTCATCAACACTACTGCAGAGGACAATCAAGTCATCAACACTACTGTAGAGGAAAATCAAATCATCAACACTACTGTAGTGGTCAATCAATACATCAACACTACTGTACAGGACAATCAAGTCATCAACACTACTGTAGAGGACAATCAAGTCATCAACACTACTGTACAGGACAATCAAGTCATCAACACTACTGTAGAGGAAAATCAAGACACCAACACTACTGTAGAGGAAAATCAAGACATCAGTGACAATGTAGCCGACAATCAGAAATCTAGGCATTCTAGAGGTCTCAATTGTTCTATTGTAAATCATTTAAATATCATTTTTACACTTGGTAGGAAAATGCCTTTTTATATCGAGGTAAGTGCTATCGTAATCACTTCTGTTGGAATGGTTGGGAACGTGGCCACCATACTTATTATTATTGTTTATATAAATCTTAGAAAACCATATTTCCTGGCCATTCTCAGCCTTGCAATAGCAGATGTGTTTGCACTCATTCAACTTTGCGCTATACTCTTTTATGAATTTGAAATATTTGTGTATTTACAGTGCATAAAACCAAGTTTTGTTATGATCATTGCGTTAATGATATCTATAGAGATGAATGCTATTCTTAACGTTCTTCTCATTGCCATCGTTAAGTTTCTTCTATTAGTCTATCCCATTAAAAGCATGTCATATCTGACCAATCAAAAAATCATAATATTTTGTCCAATCGCAATGCTTGTAAGTTTTGGCTATGGTCTGGTTATTGCATATAGCATGATGTACATGTCCTTTGATTCTGATGGCGTATTAGGACAACTCCCAGGTCAAGTTTTCGTAACTGTTCTACCCTCTCTCTTCATTATTGTAATGCACATTATCAAAGTTGTCAAAGTGAGACAATCTAGAGCTCTCAAAAAAGAAGTAAAAACAATGAATACTGTTGTGGTGTATATTCTTGCAATCTTTCTGATTTATAACCTTTTGAAGATTGTTAATCCTTTGGTAATGGCTCTCACAAGGAGTGTCTTGATTTCTAAGATTTTGGGCATGACAATTGGAATTGCTTCCATATTACACCATGCTGCAAATCCTTTCATTTATTTGGCCTATACTCCTCTTGTCCAACAACCCTGGCAACGATTTCTACAGAGATTTAAAAGCCATGAATAGTGTACCAATTTTTAAAAAAAATATCATAAGTGAATGTCTTCTTTCTACTGACCTTTACCCCTTAGATAATAGTTCAAGTGATAGAGAGAATTTGTACATTTTAGGTCACCTGAGTAAACTTAGGTGACATATTGTATGTATTTTCGTTCGTTGTCGTGCAAGGTCCGTGGAGCGTTAATATTTGAACATTTTCAGCTACTTCTCTGCAATTGCTCAACTAATTTTGTCTCAAAGCATCTGTGGGTGAAAAGAAACAAAAATTGTATATTTTATGGTCCCTGATCTACCTCAGAGTATTAAGTAACCAATAAGTATTAAGTAACCAAAGTAAGCATGCTTAGGGTATAATCATGATAAACAATGTTGCCTCTTTAAAAATTGTGAATTTTATTGCTTTTGGTTTAAAACACGAACCAAATTCATTTGCAGGAAAGTTGTTACATGTTACTCAGGTGACCTATAAGGCCGATGGGCCTCTTGTTATGTAAATAATTTATAAGTATGGTAATTGTACAATTTTGAAGAAAGAAATCTGTGGATTCAACATAAACTTTTAATTTGATAAATCGATGATGATAAATAGTTGTTTCTCTGACAGCAGAGTTGAACTACATAGCTTATCAATAGGTTGAATGAAGAAACGTTTTTAAAAGTTGAGACGGAATTTCAGATGAAATATAGTTGTAAGAAGAAGGAAAAATCATTTAGATGATCAAAGGTATTCAGTTAAGGTTTTGCATATTAACTTTCTAATTTTATTACCAGAATTATTTAAAGAATTAAGATACATTTTTGTGGGTTTACAGAACATGAGGATCGGATCCGGAGTACCTTAAGCTTACATTATTTTCTCAATACATGTATACTGTATTTTCCCTTCAGATAGTGTTCTTGGCGTATCTTTTAATGTAGTTTTATATATTGTAAAAAGTATTTGTAAACGGATCATCTCATCTCATTTTGACTTATTCTGAATCTAATCACAGTTTTTCAATTTCTTTATTCATTTATATATAGATGTGACATAATATGAATATTTTTCAATGGATTCCTATGGAATGTATATTTTTCTTTGAATAATAATAAAACAAAGGGTTTATAGTGCATATTTAATTAAGTAATATTGATAAGAGATGTACATTGCTGTAAATTAACATTTAATCACACATGAGAAATATTTGCGATTTTCGTGACCCTTTTTCCTCGAGAATATGTACTGGACTACTGGTGTTTAGAACGTTACTTGATAATTGTGTGCAATAAATGAGGTACACTTGTCCAATAAATTATTTCACTGTAATTCTTGAGTTTCTTTCTAAATCATGAGTCATATTTAGTGACTTAACTCAGGGACGTAGCAACGGGGGGGGGGGGGGGGGGGCAGGTTATAGTAAAGTAAAGTAATATGAGGGAAATATAGTGTTGTAAGCTGAAAAATTGGATATTGAAATAGGATTTTCAACTTTGGGCAATTTTCCTTTTTTTTTTTTTTTTTTTTTTTTATTTATTTATTTATTTATTTTTTTTTTTGCTTGTCAACTTTTTTAGGTAAGTAAAAAAAAATTTCCTGTGGCTGCCCCCCCCCCCCCCTTTCAAAATCGATGCTACGTGCCTGTAACTTACATGTCAATAGCTGTCCTATAAATTCGGATCCTTTCAACTTTTTTAATCAGTTAGCGAGACTCCATGGGGGGACCATCAGACTTGTGCTTATCCTTTTACTTTTTACTATGAATAACTGATTCTCAAAGATTCAGAGAGATCTTTGCAATTAGAAAGTTACCATCGATAAAATTTGATCAATTAAATTAAGTTTTTGGACTCTTTTTTAAAACATAATAATTTTCATATATTTACTCGAACATCGCTAACCGAGTAACCCAGACAAGAAAGGCTACTGGAATCCTATTTAATCGAGGTAAAACGCTGAATGTGGCAATTTTTTACTTTCCCGGATATGTTATTCATATTATGTAAATATTTTTGTATGATAACCAACAATATGATTGCCCATGTATAACAATCATATATTTTTATCTATTTATTTTGCCAACAGTGGGCACGTCAAGATGCTCTTTCTGGCTGTGTCATTATCAGTCGCATAATCTCGGGTCTTTCCGTCATAGGTCGGAAAAACAACGCTAGTCAGAAAGGCCCGAGAATTTGCGATTGGTGTCATTATATGTGTCCCCTTCTCTATGTCACCTTAATATGGGTCACAGATATATATCAAATATTTATATATAATCATGGTACGTGTTATCATGGATAAGTTAACTTGATAATTCACGTTCTAGTTACTTTACTCCAATTCGTCGTGCGACAATTGAACTTCGAGCGAAATCGAACCACAATAGATCCAAAGGGTCAAGTTTGGGCTATACTAATATACAGTGTGTAGGTTGTACAGGTAGTTGACGAAAACTTTGAATTTTATAATAACGAAGTTCAAGGCCTTTTCTCAGATTATACACTTTTATGAAATTAAAATCTGGAATTTTACAACTTTCAATGAAAGAAAAATGAAGAAATCTAAGAAACATTTCAATTCATTAACCTGAACTCCCCTTCTCTGGCCTTTTGATGGAAGATAGAACATTCACAATGTAACCTTCAAATGTGAATACATGCAAACCACGTTTCTACACAAGTTTTAAGAAACCTATATTTGTTTATAATCTAGTAAAACACAATGATAAAGACGTGCATTATTCTTGGTATTCTATCATTTTCCCTCGCTGATAATGTGAAATTCAAGGACTGTGGTAGGTGCAATTTCTTTTATTCTAAACTGAAATCGTTTCTTTCAATTTTGGGCTTTGCAATGCAATTTGCTTTCAATGTTTGAATTTTGTTCCTCAAATAATTGATTAATTAAAATTGAAAAAATATATTTATATTAAAGGGATATATCATTTATTTCCAAGTGAGGCACCCGAATTTCGATTTCCAGGAGTGGGGAAGTTGTGATTTTTTATGATTGCTAGAATCAAAAAATATATTTGCTTTATATGAACAAAATAAAGTTTAAATAAATCATGTTTCTAACAACTGCTTACAGGTTCCGTCTCGGGGAAGATAGAAAGCGTTGACGTTAAGCCATGTCCGTCAGAACCTTGTCAACTGAAGAAAAACTCCAACGTCACAATATCCCTCGACTTTACGCCGAGTAAGTACCCAAGGCCGTCGGATAGAGGCAGGGTGCTCTGAGGAACAATTACAACTCCCTACCCACCCTTTCCAGAAACTTGGTTACGACCTTGGAATGTTTATGCATACACTTTTGATATAAAATCTAGAAAATAAAAACCAATTAAACTAAAAACGGAAGATTTTATATCTTCCATTTTTTATCTCCTTGAATATTATTATGTGGATATAAAGTTTTGAATAAAGTTTATTTCATTGTCAATTCAAAGTTATATTTGATGCGTGCGTTAGGAGAACTGGGCATAAATTTAATTTTTGAAATTACTTTTACTTTCTTCTTCAGGTGCCAATTCGGCCACTTTCAAGACAGTTGTCCATGGAATAATTGGAGGGGTACCTGTCCCATTCCCAACCTCTAACGGGGCAGTCAACCCCCCTGTTCCCGTCCAACCAAACCAAAAAGTTACCTACACAAACTCCATCTTTGTTGAACCAGCTTATCCTAAGGTAATCAATACTTTTTAATACAATTTTTTTTTTATAAAAAGCCGCCAATCACATACCAGATATTACATGATTCTAAAAATAGTAAGGAAGTATGAAGATAACGAACAGTCATCAACCCCAAACGTCCGTTCAGTTTGAGAACAGAGCAAACACGGACCTCTAAATAAAAATCAGAGTATGGATCAGGTGTCATGGAGGAGTAAGCACCCTCTATCGATATTTAGAATAGAATAGAGAAAATAGAACCAAATTGAGAATTTTTAACGAAGGAATAAACATAACACTTAATTTAGCATTTGTTTGTTTGTTTGTTAAACGTCCCTTTGGAGAATTTTTCACTCATATCAAGAAGCCATCTTTTGGTGATGGAGTGCTACAAATTTATTACTACTGTATACTCGACACTCCTTTCCATTGAGCTGTGAGGAAGCTTTTTTCTCGTGCCAGCGCGCACCTACTATGACACGGGGCCTTGGTTATACGGTCTCATCCGAAGGACCGGTCTCCACGTCCCGCGACGTAAGGATCAACTTCTTACTGTGCGACGCTAGAAAAACGCTCTTACTAGATAACCCCTATGCCTCGAGGACGAATAAACGAAATTTTATTTTAATAAGGAAAATAAAAATCAATGACTGTTCAAATATACTTCTTTTTAATGAGATACTTTTTTTAATAAACAGATATCACTCCTTGTAAAATGGGAAATTCAAGACGCTTCAGGAAAGGATTTTGTGTGCTTTGTCGTTCCTGCGATGATAGTCGGATAAACCAATATAAAGAATACAGATAAAAATGCGTT